GCACCATTTATTGAAAGATTATGACCATCCTTCTCAAAAATAAATTGGGCATGTCCCCCAGAGAAGGAACCATGCAATGGGAACGAGGACAAGGGTAATTTGACCATGCTCATCAAGGTTTATTTCTGAGCACTCTTATTTCATTGGTATATATGTCTGTCTTTGTGCCAGTTTTGCCCTATTTTGATTAAAGTTCTATTGTAATAAGTTTTGAAATGAGGAAGTGTGAAACTTCTTAACTTTGCTCATTTTCAGGATTATCTTGGCCAAGGAGGGCCCTGTGAGATTTGCTATGAATTTTAGGGTGGATTTTTCAATTCTGCATACAGAGCCACTGAGACTGTGCTAGTGATGGCATTGAATCTATAGATAAGTTTGGGTAGCAATGACTGGATGGTTCCTCTTGATTGTCAGCCTCATTGGATGGAGAACTGTCTAGGAGATTAATAAAGCACACCCTTGGGTGAATCTGTGAGCCTGTATTCAGAGAGGATTAACTAAAGGGGAAGTCCCACCCTGCATGTGGGTGGCACCATCCCAAAGGCTGGAGACCCAGATAAGATAAAAAGAGAAGGAGAAAGCCCTCAGCTGCAGGCATTCTCTCCCTTCCTCCATTTCTCTGTCTCTCTCTCTCTCTCTCCGCCCCTCTTCCTCCCTCTTCTTCCCCCATCCCCATTATTTAAGCTCTTCTGCTCCACCACCATGATGGACTGAAACTATGAGCAAAATAAATCCTTCCTCCCTTAAACTGTTTCTAACAGGTATTTTGTCATAGCAAAGAAGTCTGAGTAAGACACTGATTTAGCAATATTGTCTTCCAATCTGTGAGCATGGGCATTTTTCCATTTATTTATCCTCTTTAATTTCTTTCAATAACATTTTGTCATTTTTAGAGTACAAATCTTTCGCATGTTGGAGAATTTTCTTTGCAAGTAATTTTTATCAGCTCAATGTTCTCTTTTCAAATAGAAAAAGTAAATTAAAAAGTTTACCCTTTTGTTCTTAAGAAGAGTTTTTCCCCCAAATTGTGAATATTGTTATTTATTTTAATTAACCAAATCTACATATTTATGGTGTGCGAGTTTTGAAGTATGAATACTATGTGCAATGGTTAACTCAAACTATTTAACATATCTATTATCACTTATTTTGTGGTAAACACTTTAAAATCCCTTAGAAATTTTCAAATATATAATGTATTGTTACCAACTATAGTGAGCATACTGTTCAGTAGATCTCTTGAGATTTTTAAAATGGGTTTTATTGTGATATTTTCATTGAAATTTTATTTTTGTTGTTTTTGTTTTTGGTGGTACTGGGGTTTGAACTCATGCCTCACACTTGCTAGGCAGGTACCACTTGCACTTCAGCCTGCTTCACTGAAATGTGCCCTTTGCCTAACATCTCCCCAATACCCCTCCCTCTCCTGAGCCCCTGGCAACCATCAATTCTCCTGTTGCTCTGTGAGCTGGATGCTTTTAGATTCCATGTAGAAGTGAGATCCTGCAGTATTTGTCATTCTGCGCCAGGCTTGGTCACATCACAGTGTCCTCCAGGTTCACCCATTTGTCCCAGGTGACAGATTGCCTTTCTTATGCTCTTTCTGTGGCATATCCTTGTCTCTTACTCTGTTAATGTGGCGATTTACATTAATAGTTTCTCTAGTATTAAATCAACTCTGCATTTTAACTTGGTCATGTGTTTCAACCACAGTGAATTTTTTTTTAACATTTTATATAGGCTATTTGCATCAATCTGTTCATGAGTGAAATTGAACAATTTTTTTTTATACTTTTAAGTCAGAGTTATAGTACTAAGCTTAACAAATGAGTTTGGAATTTTTTTCTTTTTGTAACAAGTGAAAAGATGCATGAGATTAGGATTAGATGTACCCAGGGTAATTGGTAGAATTTGTCTATAAAAACATCTTTTCTGAGTTGCTTTTTTTTGCAAAACATTTAAACTACAGATTGAATTTTAAAAACTGTTATAAATTGGGTTTTCTATTTTTTGTACCAATTTGGCAAGATATTTTTTAAAGAATTTATCCATCTTATCTAAGTTCATTGTGATGAAGTCTATAATACCCTTTCAATCATGTTTTCAGTCTCTAGACTGTTGTATTTAAGTCCCCTTTACATTCTCAAGATTATTTTCCCTTTCCTTCTTTACCTGTGTTCCTGGAAATTTGTCAACTTTATTCATGTTTTCAAATATTTTCATGTCCTGTTTTACTTTCAAGTTCCATTTTATTTCTTCTCTTGAAAATGGATGGAGCTGGAGATCATCACACTCTGCAAGCTAACCCCAGCTCAGAAAGATAGATACAGAGTGTTTTTGCTCCTAAGAATGTAGACCTAACGAAAATAATAACATGACAAGATTGTAAAAGGGGAACTCTTGGCGGGAAAACCAGTGGAAGGAGGAGGGGAAAAAGAGAGGACGAGGGGTGGATATAAAATCTAAGTACTTCATGTATATGTATAAAAATAGCATAAAGAAACCCAATAAAAACTGTTAAAAAGGGAGGGGGAGGAAGAGGGTCAAGATAGTGTAATATAGACGGGATGAATTTGATCAAAGTTCATTATATGCATTTTGTAAATATCACAATGAAGCCCCTTCGTGCAATTAATTTATATTAATTTTAAAAAGTAGAGACTAGAACTCACTTATGGTTGTCACTCAAAAAGTTTCTCATATTTATCATTTTCTTTCTCTTGGTTTATTCTACTGCCTACTTTTTCAGTTGAACATTTTTCATTAACTTGTAGCCTTTCTTTCCTAATGTAAACATTTGAGGCTTAAATTATTCTCTATGGGCTAGTTTAATGTACCACAACTTTGGCAAGTTAGTATTTTAATACTCAGAAGTATTTTCCATTTTCTTTGACAGCTAAACATGAAATTAGAAAACATGAAAATATATTTTCTAATTTTCTCCTGTAGGAATTTTTAGTTGTTATTCAAAAAATTAATTTGTAATTTGTTTGCAAACATTTGTTTCCATACCGAGGTTTTGCCTGTCTAATCAGACCTCCCCTGTAATGTCCTGCAGCTGATAAGGTAAATGGTATCTTCACCCAGTTTGGAGTCTCTGGTTTGAGGTCAGTCAGTTCTTTTCCAACAGCTAAGTGCACACCCCCCCCAATCCCTTCCTTAATCAAGTTCTCATACTCTCTGGGGCTACTATACAGTAGCCCTCATCACCCTCAGGCCAGGTTCTAGATAGCCAGGGACACAAAATTCCTTAAACTAGCCAATCAATGGCAACCCTCACCCACACCCCGAATCCGCTCATTAGCTCCAGTTCCTTTTACCTTGTCCCTGTGTGCTACCTGTGTGGCCCTGCCCGCACACTTGTCTCCTTTTGTGCTCTCATTTTCACACCAAAACTTGGGTGCCTAGCCACATGGCTCTGCTGCAGAATCCTGTGGAGCCCCTCACCAAGCCTTTGGGCTATGCCTCCCAGTTTCACAGATGTTGGGTCCTGTGGGTGGCTGAGAGGTTTACTTGGTGTCTTTGCTGTAATAAAGGCCGGGTACCACCAGGGGTCGCTGTACTCTCAGATGGGACACCTGTCATGTGCTTACCCTGGTACCACTGTAGCCTGGGGCAGGGTTTGCACAGTCTTTTTGTTGGATTGCTGCTGTCCTGGTTTCAGAAATTAAATCTAATAGAACTGTGACCTTGAAAATGTCAAGAGAATGGGCCTTGGTCCCAGCCACATCTCTAATTGGCTGTGATGCCTTGGGCATATCACCTTCCCTTTCAGGGTTTGTGTTGCCTCATGTATGAAACTGATGTTTTAGAAAATGATCTTAGGCGGGTGGTGTTGGGAATCCTATTTTTGGGTGTTTAGTTTTCAAACTTCCTGAAGGGAAACCTATGTAGTATTTGTCCAGGACAGTAATGTTATTTTGCCAACCTGAAGGTTGACTTTCTCCAGTGCAGCAACCTCTGCCACCCGGAAACCTGAGCGTTGACTCATGACTCCCCCAAATATTTCCTGGGATCCCAGTAATGGCTAAGGACAACACGCCATGGTGTGCTATTTCAAGAGAGGACGCTACTCCTGCCTATTTGATTGGTGCTACTGATGTCACAGCTTATACCCTTTCTGAGCACCTGGATATACCAGCACTGTGCCAAGTGCCTCACAAACACAAGCTCATTTCACCACCACAGAACTCCACAATTCCTGAGCAGAACGGCTTGAGAGATGTCCTGTTGCAGAAGCACCTTGAAGCTGTGCTGTTATTTCACATCACATTGAGGACAGATCCGCTATTGAATTAAAGAGTATGGCTGGCACAGACACACTCACTTGGACAATTTTTCTCTTCTGTGTACCTGAATGTCCTTTTTCTTGAGTCTCTGTCCTTCACCATCTGATCTCTTCAGACCCCTCTCATTTGGATTTTTTTTTTTTTTTTGGTGGTACTGGGGTTTGAACTCAGGGCCTCAGGCTTGCTAGGCAGGTGCTCTACCACTTGAGCCACTCCACCAGCCCACATTGTCCATCTTGAATCTTGCCACTGCATATCCGTGACATGGAAATAGTAAACAGACCACTCATCCACAATTTACAGGGCATTTCTGTTGCATATGACTGGTTAAAATTGGAATTTTTTGTTTTGTTTTGTTTTTTTAGTTAAAAAGCCAAAAAATAATTATGTGTGCTGTGCTGGGGATCGAACCTAAGGCCTTGCTCATGGTAGGCAAGTGCTCTATCTCTGAGCTCCATCCCTGCCCACTAACAAAATTTTAAAAGTTAAAAAAAAACCTTTTAAAAAACCTCTGTTGTCTTCCTTATCTTTCCATTTTCTTCCTTTTCTTCCTCTAACAAGTTTGACTTTTGGAGAATGAGTCACTCATTTTTTGTTTCCTCCCTCTATCAAAAAGCCCCATTTGAACTCAGCGCAGACGGGTGAGGGATAGAGTTGGTCTCACAGGAAGCCACACACCCTTCAAAGGCACTTGTGTTCTTGAGCAAGCCTGGCACTGTCTCAGACCTTCCTCAGAGCTACTCTCAGAAAAGCAAGGTAAGTGGGGACGGGGACACTTCCAGGACCTCCAGTCATGCACTGCTCTCTAGATGTGTATGACCTGGAGGCAGCACTGACAGGGGGTCAGCCACTCCTCTGCCTCAACATAGGGGCACCTTGGTCACGCTGCTGCTCAGAGCTGGCACCTATCTTGGAGCTCACACACTTTGCACCTGTCCCCACACCTACGAGTCCTCCTCTGCTGCATTCAGCGCTGATACATCCACACACATGCTCCAGACAAGCAGAATTTTCATCAGAAACACAAACTGTCCTGCTTCTTACTTCTTTCAAGACTCCCCAACCAAGAAACACCACACCTATAAGACCCACAGCACAACAATGCTTACCAACCATCCTGCTGGCTTGTTTGCGACCCTCCTAGTTCCTTGGCCTCATTTTTTCCTTCAATTTTCACAGGTAAAATGGTGGAGCTACAACAGAATGGGTACTTATTTAGCAAATTTCTTTGGAGAGGCTGTGGGTAGCAGGTCTTTAGCATGCGTTTCTGGGATAAAACTAACATCTCTTGAGGAACAGTTTGGGTGTTCGGGTATGTGGCTGTGTGCATGAGGGAGGGGTTGGGTGTGCATTACTGAACCAAGTGAGAGGGTTTAACAAGGAATGCCAGGGCACCATGAAAGCACTAAGGAAGATAGGGGGTAGGGCTGAGTCAGAGAGCCCTTCATTCCTGAATTGCTCTGCTGCTCAGATGAGCATGTGTGTAACTTAAACAAGGTTTTACCCTCTTCACCAAGTTAGGTAGGAATGGAGGTGGGTGAGGAGGAGGAGATGCTCTTTCTGGCGTGGTGTGCTTTTTCTGTATCTGTCAGGTTAATCTCCATTCTAATAGGATTCAGTGCATGGGTTGATTTTGTATATGGTTTGGTGAAAAGACCAGAAGTTCTCTCAAATTACCCAACTGAGTATTGCAACCGCCTGAAAGGCCGTCTAAAGAAATTTGCTGCATTGGAGTCACATTAGCCCAGGAGTGGCCAAGGTCAGACATGTCCCCACCTGAGAGGTGCTCTCAAGCACACTGGACTTGGCAGTGGGGTGCGCCAGCCGACAGCTTGGATGGCCAGAGTTGGTCTGAATACCACAGCCATCAGCACAGGCAGCAAATCAGAGCTTTCCCTCTCACCTCTGACTCCTTGTTTGCCAACACATCACTGTGACTGGGGCTCAAAAAGCAAGATGTGTGGTCATTAGTCATTACTTCCTTGAGGCTTTCCCAAATCATTTATGCCCTGAGTCAATTATGCTCACATAAGGTAGAGTGCAAGATTTTTGTTGGGGATGGGATTAAACATACAATACTGGGGAGTGTGCTTTAAAATATATACAAAGCATGCAGGAAGAATTCATTTTTATATAAGCGCAAGTGACCAACCTTGTTTCCTTCTTGCAGAATAAGGTTACCTAAAGCAGTTACTGGGAGTTTGGTTTACACTTTGAAGAAAACATATAGATTTTTTTATTATTATTATTGTTGTTATTTTGGCTGTGGTGGGGATCAAACCCAGGGATTTGTGCATGCTAGGCAAGAACTCTATCACTGAGCTACATTTCCAGCATACTATATATTCTTTTTTGTTTTATTTCAGACAGGGCCTGGGTCCAGTACTGTTGTCATCATCCTTGAATCTCATAACCCCACACTAAGCTACCTTTTAGAAACACCTTAAGACACACCTCTTGAAAAGAGGGTTTTACTATCCTTACTCACAAATGGGAATGGAACTTCTCAGCAGAGGGATGAGAAGATTGAAGTGGGAGCCCAATTTCCATGACTCCCAAGGCTAGAATTAATTATTTTGTTTGGCCACAGGGCACTGGGAGGCATTGAGCCAGCTTGGGAAGGGTGTGTACTGATTTGGGGCAAAACTGTGTGCATCTGTGCTCTGCATTTAACACCTATTTATTCTTGTTATTTCAGAAATCTCACTTTCTTGTCCTCTCAGCTTCTTGTGGTTTCACCCAGAACAATCTTGAGGAGCCTCTAGATTTAAAAAATGAACCCCACAGATATAGCAGACACCACCATGGATGACAGCATCTACAACAGTTACTATCTGTATGAAAACATCCCCAAGCCTTGTACTAAACAAGGCATCAAAGCCTTTGGGGAGCTCTTCCTGCCCCCTCTTTACTCCTTGGTCTTTCTGTTTGGTCTGTTTGGAAATTCTGTGGTGGTTCTGGTCCTGTTCAAGTACAAGCGGCTCAAGTCCATGACTGACGTGTACCTGCTCAACCTCGCCATCTCGGATCTGCTCTTTGTGCTTTCCCTCCCATTCTGGGGCTACTATGCTGCAGAGCAGTGGGTTTTTGGGCTAGGTCTATGCAAGGTTATTTCCTGGACATACCTGGTGGGCTTTTACAGTGGCATATTCTTCATCACGCTCATGAGCATCGACAGGTACCTCGCAATTGTGCATGCGGTGTTTTCCTTGAAAGCAAGAACTGTGACCTATGGACTCATCACCAGCCTGGCTACGTGGTCAGTGGCTATCTTCGCCTCCCTTCCTGGCCTTTTGTTCAGCACTAGTTATACAGAGCGCAACCATACCTACTGCAAAACCAGGTACTCTGTCAACTCCACCACGTGGAAGGTTCTGAGCTCCCTGGAGATCAACATTCTAGGACTGGTGATCCCCTTGGGCATCATGCTGTTTTGCTACTCCATGATCATCAGGACCTTGCAGCACTGTAAAAACGAGAAGAAGAGCAAGGCAGTGAAGATGATCTTTGCTGTGGTGGTGCTCTTCCTCGGCTTCTGGACACCCTACAATGTAGTGCTCTTCCTGGAGATGCTAGTGGAGTTAGAAGTTCTCCAGGACTGCACCTTGGAGCGGTACCTGGACTATGCCATCCAGGCCACAGAAACCCTGGCTTTTGTTCACTGCTGCCTCAATCCAGTCATCTACTTTTTTCTAGGGGAAAAATTTCGCAAGTACATTGTACAACTGTTCAAAACCTGCAGGGGCCCTTTTGTGCTCTGCCAGTACTGTGGGCTCCTCCAAATGTACCCTGCCGAGACACCCAGCTCCTCTTACACACAGTCCACTGTGGATCATGATTTCCGTGATGTTTTGTAGAAGATGAAAATGCTAAACAGAGTTAATGGATGTCCATATTCATTGCTTGCTTAAAATCGTGTTTTAGTGAGAAGGAAGACTCATATCCACAGTGAAAAGTGGGCTGCTCAGCCTGCAGTCTGCTCGTCCTTTTCCTGTGGATGAGTTCAGCTCTGTGAGGGTTCACCTGACTAAGCTTCCCTCTTCACCCCGGGCCTGCCTGCAGGAAGAGGCCAATCTGAGGCAAGCTGTAAATGATGTCTCTGTGGGATCCTATGGAAGGGACAGACCACCCCCCCAACCTATACCGAGGGCTGCTCCAGAGGAGCTGCAGAGCACCTGCCGGTGGTGAAAATGGCCCTCTGACTCATTTCTAGCTCTGTGGAAGAATATAGAAAACTTTAACATGCTGTCATTGTGTTTTCTCAATAATATACCTGAAACATGGTATATTTCATGAATATGTGTAGAAACAGTGAAATGAACATAGGTATCTATTCTTTTATTATAAAAGATTGATTGTTAATTGAAGCCAAACTTTCTCTACTGATTTCGAGTATAAGGAAGGTGTTAGCATGGTCTGATTTCCGAACTCAAAATAAAAGGAATTTTTATTTAGAATCTAAAAATACTTGTTGAAATCCAAATTAGTTTAATTTCCTTGAGGATGTGTTTCATTTTAATTATAAAACATGAATATTCAAATTTGGAAATAATACATACATTGTAGGTGCAGTTGTAAGTGCCTGTAATCTTAGCTACTCAGGAGGTTGAGGCAGGAGGATCACAAGTTCAAGGCCATCCAGGAAGTTATAGTGAGACTGTCTCAAAAACAAAAAAAACCCCAAAAAACAAAGTTCAGCTCTAAAGGCACTTGTGAGTACCCTGAAGTAATCATTTTTTAAATTGTGAACTGTGACAAACCTTTAAAAAGATAATACATGGAGAGCTGGGATTATAGGTGCATGGTAGAGCACTGCCCACTGTGCAGGAGGTTCTGGGTTTGGTCCCAAGCACTGTAGTAGTGATAATTATAATTGCTGGGTCTGTCCTTACTCATAGCCTTAAATACTCAGAATTAAGCAGACTCCATCAAGTCTGTGAGCCCTCTAATCCCTCCAAAACCAAAACCGATCTTGCAATCTTGTTGACTGAGTTAAAATGCTTCTGAATGTTCACATGCTGTTGCATGCTGTACATTGTAAAGCACTCTACCGTTTGAGCCACACCCCCAGTCCTTGCGCCTCTATTTAGTTTGTCATTCAGATAGGTCTCCTGATAACTTTCCCTGGGCTGGCCTGAGACTAGGGTCTTCCTGTCTCTGCCTCCTGAGTAGGAAGGACACAGCATGTACCACGATGCCCAGCCCCAGAAAAGTTTTAAGAAGGAAAGTGGATGTTGTTGTTACAGGAAATAAACTTGTACAGAGCCCCACTGAGCCTTTTTCCTGATCCTGTCTCTGCCTGATCTGTGTGGATTAGCACCAGATGCTCACGATCTGCCCATTGCTTTGCTGTGTATTAGAGATGCCATGGACTCACCCAAGGGGAGTAACCAAAGGGCCTGTGGTTACTTCTCCACTTGGAGTGGGAAGATTCCCTGTTATATTGTGGCACACTTGGAGACAAGAGGCGATAGTTTATGGGTGGGCTGAGTTTGTAGGCAGTGGTGTGTTAGGCTCAGCCAGGTCCTAGCTCTCATCTCTTTGTGAGCCTGAGCATGTTACTTAACTCCCTTGGCCTCAGTTTCCTCATCTATTAAGTGGAATGCATTTCAGAGTGATAGAAAAAAAGAAATAAGACGTTCCGAAGTCAGAGATAAAAAGGGTTTCGGATCTGTTCAACCAGAGCTGCCCCCTCCCTTCCTGGAACAGCTTCTGATTTTGTTTATTTAACCATAGCAACCCAGAAACTCAGGGCATCGAAAGACAAATACAAACCACAAGAGTCAACTGTCCTTCCCCACCACAGGGAATACCACGCAGTGGGGAGCTGTAATCTGTATGGCTCCCATCCCTCTCAAGGGAGGGCTCTTCATGTTTCAAGTCAGTCAGGGCTCCCCTTGTTCCAAGTTGTGGGATTGTACCCTCAGCATAGGCATTTACCAGGTGATGTCCAAATATAGCCCTTTCAAAACAGCCAAAGGAAAGTTTCTTTCCATTCAGAAAAGGAAGCCAGTATGGATTCTGCACAAAGGTTTCCCTGGTGATTTTCAGACATTAGACCCATCCCTGACTGGCTTCTGGGGAACACAAACAGGTGTAATTTGCTTAAGAACAATGGAAATGGGTTAATGGGAGTGTGTGTGCATGTGTGTTTCAAAAAACAAAATAACAACCAAAAAAAACCAGTTGAAAATAGCCAGGCCAATATGTGTTCTATAGTCAGTCCTTGACTTCTACTGAATAAGTGAATTATTTACTTCCCATGAGAAGGGAAAATATAAGGGGAACCCAAAGGGCCTTCAGATCTTTAGGGAGATTTTCCCCTAAGAAACTTATAGCAATTTGGAACTATGGACTGCACTTATTTCCTACCTGCTGAATGCGTGTTTTGTGCCCAGAACGCTAGGAGATGGCATGGAGAAAGAGGTAAAGGAAGAACTTTCAAGATTAACAACAGTACAAGCAAGTCAGGTCTAATGGTCACAGAAGATTCTGTGGGATTCCAGAGGAAAGAGAAAATGGTTCAATTGCAGATTTTCATAATACAATGAGCTTTTGGAGCAGCCATTGGGGGAGGAGCACAGTTTTCATGGAAGGCAAGAAGAACTGCTTTCTAGGCTGATGAGGCAGTAGAGTGGGAAAAGGCTGTGTGTTCAGGAGTGGTGAATAGGTTTTTTGTAGTTAAAGTGAATTTGTGTGTGTGGGGGGGTGGCAAAGAAAGGAAAATGAGACCCAAGAAAATCAGATCTGAGAGGCAATGGTTTAGCAATACTGTGTCAGCTGTCATCCTGCAGTGGCCTTGAAGAGATGGGGTGGACACTGTGGCACACTGTCCACTCTGCCCACTATCCAAATTATCAGAATGTTGGCTGCTGACAGCTCCCGGCTAGTCTCCCTTCAGGAACTGTCTTCCCTGGGTAATGGAGGATGCAAGCATTTGCGTCCTTTCCTAGACTTGGAAAACCCCGAGGTGTTCCACAATTTCCAAGCCCCCCTAAGATTAGCTGAGGCATAGTTCAACAGTCCTTACTGCCCAATCCTGTTTCCTTCATGCCCTTCGAGGTGTGTTCCATGGGGACTCCCCATGAAATCCATCTCCTGTGGGCTGGGGTGTCTCAGTCTGAGGAAACTCAGTCTAAAACAGGAACTTCCTGATCATACTGTGGGAGAATGAGGCATAACATTTGCTTTCTGCTCATCACCCCCACTTGACTCTCTTGGTCCCCGTGTTCTCCTTCAGTTTCACTTTGACCTCCACTGTTTGCCCCCTCAACCTTGGAGGCATCTTCCCCTAGGCCATCCTCCCGCCTTGGTCAAAGCACAGCCACCTGACATCCTATATCCTGTCCTTGTCAGTGAAACTCCATCTCCCGCCTTTCTCAGCTCAAATGAACCAGACACAAGCTCCACCCATTTTTGTGGTCACAATACTCCTTAAAAGCTTGCAGAAAATCAGAAAGCCACCAAATGCTTTCATTTCAGCCTTTGAAAGAGTAGATATGATTGATTTTATTACTCCAGGAAATTGAAATTCAGGGGAAATAATCTTCTAATCATGAATTGAACTCCAACAATAATCACCACCTCACTGCAGAGTAAACTGCAGAACGCAGTCACTCAGTTTGGTTTTTTTTTTTTTTTAAAACTGCATGAGTGTGTTTCCTATCTCTTAAATAAGTCCTCTGCATTGACAAGTCAAGTTTCTGTTTAACTACACAAACTTCACTGGTTCTTTCTCCAAAATCCCCAATTGTGTTTCTAATAAAACTTTATGTGACCAAGTTCAAAGACTGAGTGAATTGTTCCAGAAATAGTGGGTGGGTTTTGGGTCAAAAATTACTTCCTTTAGACTTTTGGTATGAACATGACTAAGAGTCTTCATTTTCACCTTCTCTGGGAAATTGTAAAATAACATCAAGAAAGGATGAATTAAAAAATTCATAAATTCCCTTTTCATGAAAACTTGGATAGAGATCCTTTTACAGACTCTGAAATTATCTGTCAGCTGTCCAAAGCAGCTGATGCCAGGAAAAATCTGTATGGGAAAAAGTGAAGAGAAGGGCAGGGATGGATGGCAGAAAGCACTTAAGACATTTCCAGAAGGGAGGGCTATGCCCTGTACTACAGGAACAGGACTTAGGTTAAATATATATTATAGTCCTGCCAGGCATGAAGACACATGCCTGTAATCCCAGCACCTGGTAGGCTGAGGTAGGAAGATTGCAAGTTTGAGGGCAGCCTGGGACCCCGTTTCAAAAAAAGTCAGAGAGACAGTGTCACTATGTTGCCCAAGCTGGGAAGTGATCTTCCTGTTTCAGCTCCTGAATTGCTGGGGAGTCAGGTATACACCACCATGCCTAGTGGTTTTTATATACTGTACATCGGCCATATTCACCCTCCTTTACCCGCTCTATTCCCCCTCCCCTCCTACTTGCAATCTCCCTCTAACAGGACCTGTTTTGCAGTCGATGGTATTTCACCAGTGAATATATTATACTTAATTAGTCTAACCCCCTCTATTACTCTTCCTTACCCTTTCTCCCCACCCTCCAATATTCAACAGCTTTCAGTGCATTTCATTTTGCCTTCTTCCTACACAGATGAGATATATTTCCATATTATTCACTATCATTCTTCTTTCCTCTCCCTTTCTCCCCCCATTCTCCTCAAACAGTCCCACTATTTGTTTATTTATTTGAGGTACTGGGGCTTGAACTCAGGGCCTACACCTTGAGCCACTCAACCAGCCTTTTAGTGAAGGGCTTTTATTTTTTGTTAGAATATACTCATTATACAGAGGGAATTCATAAGTGACAATTATGGTTTTTTTGATACGGTCTCGCAAACTATTTGCCCAGGTTGGTTTTGAACCAAGATCTTCCAGATCTTTGCCTCCTGAGCAGCTAGGATTACAGGTGTGAGCCACCAGCGCCCAGCTAAACAGTCCCATTGTGAAAAACATGTTCTCTGTGTGTGTGTGTATAAGCCTTATAATCATGTTTATATTTGTGTATTCATTTATCTTTTGGATCTTTCACATATGAGAGAAAACATGTGACCTTTGCCTTTCTGAACCTGACTTATTTTGCTTAACAGCATGATCTCTGGTTCCATCCATTTACCTACAAACAGCATAATTCCTTTTTTTTTTTTGTGGTACTGGGGTTTGAACTCTGGGCCTCATGCTTGTTAACGAGGCGCTGTACCACTTAAGTCACTCTACCAGCCCAATTTCATTCTTCTTTGTCACTGAATAACACTCCCTTGTACATATACCACATTTTCTTGATCCATTCATCAGTTGTGGAGCATCTGAGTTGTTTCCATAGCTTGGCTGTTGTGAACAGTGCTGTGATGAACATG